ACCAAGGATTGATCCCTGTAGGACACCGCTGACTACATCTTTCCAATCCGATGTATTTGTTTCTAATTTAACCCAATGTTGCCTTTTATTTAGCTAAGCTTTAGTCCATGCAAGAATCTGACCACGAATACCATATGCGTAAAGTTTATATAGTAGTCTTCTCTTAGGCAATGTATCGAAGGCTTTTTCGATACATTGCCTAAGAGAACAGGGTATCCTTGGCTTAAAGACTCGGTGAGGATGTCATGAGTTTTTAACAAATTGGTCATGCATGATTTTTAAAACACAAGTTCATGTTGTGTATTCGAGATGATTCTGGTAGCTTCACAGTGATGCATGATAGTCTCCCGAATAATTGCTTCGGTTATTTTTCCAGGAATTGATGCTAACGAGACTGGTCTGTAGTTTGAAGCCAAAGGTCTAGAGCCTTTCTTGAAAATTGGTGTAACATTTGCTTTTTTCCATCTATTGGGCACAACACCAGTACTAAGTGAGTTAGTAAAGATTATACCCAAAGGTAAAGCCATACTTGAACAACAACTTAAAAGAACTCCTGGGTGGATGCAAATGAACCCAGCAGACTTATTTTGATCAATTTTTTTTAGTCTATTTATGATATGCTTGTGAGAGAAAAAGTGGTCAGGAATTTCACTGGATTGTATTTCTGTTCAATTTTTAAAATTCGGTAGCTCATCTGATGGTTCTGCAACAAAAACAGAATGAAAGAAACTACTAAAAGCACTGCAAATTAATTCACTTTCAGTTATGATTGCTTCATCAGTATTTTTCAAAGCTTGTATAGAGTCTTTTTCACTTCTTTTTTTTTTTCGCACATAGGAATGGAGTATTTTTGAAATTAGTTTCGCTTTTTGAACAATGGTCTCTTTTTTTACTGATATACTAGCTGCTTTATGCTCTTATTTTAATTTGGCGTGAACAAATTGCCCAGCAGATATAGACTTTTGGGTTTTGGCCCAAAGGTCTCATTTTAGACGAATACCAGCTTTTACATCAGTTTTTATCCACGGTTAGTGAGCAAAAATTAGTTTAGATTTTGTTGTTGGTATATATTAAGCACACGCTAAATTAAATTTTTGAAAAAAAAGTTTTGTAGCAATCATTTGCTGATAAGCCAGCAAAGAAGTTACTCCATTTTACTGATTCAAAATATCTTTTTAAAAATAAGCTTTTTCCTAAACAAGTCTTGGTAAATTATTGGTGGAATGATTTGCATCAGCACTAGCAATAGCATATTCACATGTTACCATAAAGTGAACACAACCTTTTGGTGTATGGCCAAGAGGTTCTCCTATTATTAGTTCAAAAACACAGTCTGACTCATGCGTGATGAGAAGGTCAAGGGTGTTTTTTAATTCTTCTTCAAAAAAATTTTGAAATGATGGAAAGATAACAAGTTGCATAAGATGATTATTATGAAGACAGCTAAGGAATATTTTTTCTGGACACTTATAACCTATAGATGTCTCCTCAATGTTGGCTATTGTTGCCGTTTCTCCACCAATGTCGACATCAACATATCTAATGTGACTATAATTAAAATCACCAAAAACTACCATACTTGAACAACCTAGACAAGATAAAGATTACTTTGCATTTGTAAGCGATTTACATAACGAAGCAATAACATCTAAATTGCTACTTGGTGGTCAATAAATGCATCCAATTATTATTTTATCACATCCTATTTGTACTATTTTCCATATTTGTTTAATCACACTATTGTTGAGTTGTATGTTACATACTTCCAACACATTAATACATTCTTTTATATAAAAACATTTACCGTCACCAGCATGAAAGCTGCTCCAATCTTGTTAAAACAGCTGATATTGAATTAAAAACGTTACATTATCAGGGCCAAATTTTGTTTCAGCAACTGCTATAATATGAGGCTCATTTTTTTCCATGAATGCATTTTAAAATTGGTCAGCAAGTTCAAAAAGTTTGTTTTGAAGTGAGTTTGTGTTTGCAGACAAGATTCTTAAGTTAGATAATTTAGGAGGTATGTTTTACACTGTTTTGACTTAGATTGTTTAATTTGAACTGGCTTTTGACTTTGCTTCGGTAATAGCTTTATCCACTGTTGATTGGTTGGTGAAGATAAACTGAAATTCTTTTGGTGACTCTGTAGCATTAATGAGTTTGACACGGTTAAGTCGTAGATGGATGCTTAAGCAAAAAGGCTGATCAAGAAGGCTAAGTATAGTCAATTCGTCATTCTTTTTCTTTTTCTCTCGGTATAGTTCATTAAAGTTTGCTTGTTCTGAATCTGTACTGTCCTTTTTTGCATATACATTCTTATAAGCTGGCACTGTGTGATGAACCTCTTTTGATAGTACGCTTATCCTGTCAGATAAATCTTTCAAATAACTTGAATTATGCTTGTTTTACAATCATTATTATGATTCACTAAATTAAAATTTTTAGGGCGGAAACAATTTACCTTGACAATGATGTCTTTATTGATTCCAGCAACGTTAAAAAATTCAGCAACTGCGTTTTTATTTGCAACATTATCTTGGCAATTTTTAATATCTATTCCAGACACTATTACATTCGCTTCACAAATTTGACGCTCTTTTTGTTCAGCAGCTGTTTTATTTACTAAAATATTTCTTTTGCGTCTGTTATTGGTTGATTTATTGATGAATTTAGACGCAAAATTAAATTTTTTATCTGATGATGTTTTTACTGTTTTATCACATTTAGATTGAAGATTGCTGATCAGTTCAGATTGCGAGTTTACTTTGTCCGTCAGATATATAACTTCGTCGCGAAGTACTGTTAACTCTGCTTTCATTATATAGCCAAGCTTTTCTAATTTTGTATTCCCAGGACCAAAACCAACAAACTCATACTCATCAGATAATGCTAATGCTGATTGTTTATTGACCTTTTTATCTGCCATATCTTCATTACTTATGACAAGGAGGGCTACCACACTAAACAACAGTGGATTACCCCCTGGTTAACAACATTCATAATTATTTTAATTAATCTTGTTAACACAAATACTGTCAAAAGTTTTAGATTTGCTTTTTTCCATTGAGGCAGACAGAGAAAGAAAGTTCTAAAACAAGATTAAAAAATGATTATAAATACTCTTAAGTTATATAAGTACCCTAATATGATATACACACTCTTGCACAATATTCTAGTTATATTATACTTTTTTTTTTGAATTTAAAAACTGTAACTAAAAAAATCAAATAAACTATAAAAATAAACCAAAAAAAAGTTAATACTTTTACAAATGGTATAAATTTATTTTAAATGTTTACTGAATTGGAATAAAAAATGGTGGCTCCCACAATGACAATGATTGTAAATACGGTTCTTCAAAAAGGCTTTTTCTTTTCTCTTTCTGTAAGATACATACATTCATAGTTTTATACAATATAGATATCAACGATCATCCAGGTAATATACACATTATTACCTGGATGATGAGATGAATCTTTTAAAGCTTTTAAAGCAGTATTAATGTCATTTCTGGCGTGTTTACTAATTATTGAGTGTTTTTATGTTGTGAGCTTGCTGAAATGCTGCAATGTATTTTTCTTACATCCACACCAGCTTTATGAACATCTGAAGTGACAACTTTTTAGAAAACTTATATGTCATTAATTGATGTTGAAAGAGCAACTCTACCACTAAAATATCTTTAATACTCTACCACTGAAATATCTGCACGTAATTGAATTTTTTTTTTTTTCTTTTCTCCATGTCCAGTTCTCAGGTTCAAAGTCTAAATAAATGTAAATTCTATTATCATTTTTATCTAAAATTAGTTCCTGATCTAGTTTTTCATTTTATCTATCATTTTCTATTTTTCATCCTCAGCATTTTATTTTGTTTGTAATAATCTAAACAAGTAAAATTGTTATAGCCAAACAGATATAATAAAATATATAAAGGAAAAGTTTATAAAAAACAAAATAAAATTGTAAAAGTTTATCAAAAACAAAATAAAATTGTAAAACAAAGTAATTTATCATTCTTATAATTTGCGTGAAATTAATTCTTTTTTTTTCTTTTCAACTTTTAATACTATTTAACACAATAAAACACAAAAAATAGTCATAGCCTGCCTTAATTACCCTTTTTATTTGAAAATAAATATTAATACCTGTCGTATAAAAAAAATCAGTTCAAAATTTTGATATTATTACTTCCCCTAGGCCTTTCAAATATAATCATTTTTGGACCATTTATTTTAATTAAATGGTTTCTGCAGAAAGCAAAATAGTTGTCTAATCAGGCTAAGTTTTTTCCACGGGTAAATATCCCACATTTCAAGGGGTAGTTAATTGAAATTCAAAAATTTCTTTAAAAGTAAATACCCTAATTTATAATTTAAAATATCATATAATTTTATAATTCTAATACTCTAATTTTATAATTTAAAAAATTACTTTTTTGTTTTATGTTTAAGGTATTTTATGTTTTTAAATAATTACCATGGTAAAGAATTGAGTTTGATAATTTTTAATCATTTTATGCAACATTTTCCTTATTTGTTGGTTTCTTCTTATTCCTTGCATTTCTTAATAAAGCTGTCAACAGAGCCGCCTTGAGCGGGGGGTGTAGAGGTGTGCTACCCCATTCCTTCAAAAAGCTTTTATATATGCAATTGAGTCGATAAATGTCAAATATTGAAGACTTTTTTTTTGTGTGTGTCTCTAGTTGACAAAAAACACATACACAACCCCCGCTTTCCCCCTTTCCTCCACCATGAAAAACCTATTTAGTACGGCCCTGGCTGTCAATATTTTTTAATGCAATTAACAGTAAATGAAATGTTTTGATTTTTAGGTCACGTGAAGTATTTTTAGTTTTTTTAGTTTTATCTAGATTTTTTTTTTATTTTGATAAGTAATCATATTTTAGATATAAAGTTAATAACAAAAAAAAAAAAAAAAAGTATAATAAAAAGCTTATTTAACAAAGTGCAATTACTACATTTATTATAAATATAGATTCTGCTGATCCGTCAGAGCTGGATGATTTTTGTGAAGAAATGAAACTAATGAAAGATATTGGGTACCATAAGAATATTGTAAGTTTGATTGGGTGTTCAACAGTTAAGAAACCCTTATGTTTAATTGTTGAGTATATGGAGCATGGAGATTTGTTAAACTTCTTGAGAAAGAGGCGAAACAAA